CACACTCAGCTGTAATCCACAGCTGAATGTAGCTGTGTACACGTAATCCATGCAATCCACAATCAAAAGATTCTACAATTTGTGGTTTTTTTGGCTTTTTTTTTTTTTTTTTTAAACAGGGGGGAGGGCGGGGAACCAAAAGACAACAATGGCTCAATGCACTGTGTAGCATCAGAGGCCTCTGTAGCCCTCCAAAGTCTAGAGCTGGCCTACGTCCAGGCTTTCTCAGGCACCTGCTCTTTTTCTACACAAGAACCTCACCCTTACCTACAGCATCACTGCCCACTGAGCAGCGGGGAGGATGGAATTCTGCCGTGCATGTGCAGGAACACTCAGCACACGGCTTCCCCAACGGTGCTCCAGGAAGTATTTCTGACAAAGACACTCCAAGCAAAATTTTGGGCAGCTCTATCCTTTAGCCTTTTTCTTACCTTTCAAAATAAGCATTAGCATCTGTAGGAGAGGTAAAAAAGCAGAAAGGTAGTCTTGCTTGCAATACTACTTGTGAAATAATCACACCCACGCGTATACTGCTAAAAAATAAACAGCCCACACAACTGAAAAGCTTAACTTCATGAGCCCTTAAGAAGCTTCCTCAGAAGCAATAAAAAAAAGAAAGTGACATTTACAATGCAGTTTCTCCATGACAGAATATGTGGAACGGTTAAAGACACATCAAATTAACTCACACTAGCAGGAGGACACTCCCAACTCCCACCCAAAGCATTCATGCTCTAGGACTTCAAAATAAAAAAGCCATTATGGAATTTAAGACAAAAGTAATTTTATTGTCTACCAAATCACACCTTTTTTTTTTTTCTTTTCTTTTACAAATTCCAAAACAAATGAAAGAATTTTAAAAATGTAGTATTATGTAAAAACCCATTTGCCACAAACTACTGTACTCAGTGGAACAAATACATATTTCAGGAGCGTGGCCAATTGTAAAAATAATCCTATGAAATAAACATTGTTCATAAAAATACAGTAAAATGCACTTTCCCCACCTCAATAAATACATTTTAACGCTGTTTCCAGTTGGCATTTTAAGCCACTAGAGAGCTCTTAATGAAGAAGCCGCCAAAGTATAATTTCTCCTTATGTACTTTTACAATTATTGCAATAGCATCCGGAACTGTAAGCATTTTCCTTGTAGTGTTTTGTTTCTGCCTTCAGGGGAATCACAGACAGGAGAAAAAATTTATCTACAGAAATGTGCTACTCCCATATTGATTCCCATTTTGGAAAAAATGTTTCAGGTTTTCTTTCTTTTCAACTAAGAAATAGTCCATAGAACAAACTGTTTCAAAGAAGAATTCTCCAGAATTACTCAGAAAATTAAATTCTATTGTCCATAGTTTTGTTTTCAATCCCTGTTTAATATATTTAAAATTAAAAATTAAACAGTTGTTAGATAAAAATAGAAGTTTTAAAACATCTTTAACAACAGCTAACATAAAAGTTTTGTTAGAAAAGAGAAAATCTCGCCCTTTTTATAAATCTTGCAAATTTTTAAATCCAAGTATTGACTTGAATTGTAGTTCTGCTTTCCATGCACGCACAAAAACACACAATTCTATATACACAGATCCCTGATTAAGACATTTTCCAAATGGCTTATTAAAAATGTAAAAGTCAATTTTAACTGAAGTCACATTTAGTTTGTCCAAAGCACAGTCATTTCTTGAGAAGATGAGTATTTCTCTTCCTTTCCCATGATGCTTCCTTAGAGGTTCTGTCTGCCTACCTGTGGATGAATCAGTATTTTACACATTACACAGCTTGTGACAATAAGTTAAATATTACTGTGCCCAGTGAATGAGTGCCTTTTAAAAAAACAAACAAAATCAACTCTGTTTCATGGCTGAGGCCGTGGCCAAGAGGCTGACAGGCTTATCCTTCTTTCTGTGCTGGCCTCCTTCACTTCCATTCTTTAGCTGTTTTCTGACGTGTACAAGACTGGTATATTTGGCATACTTGATGGAACAGAATAAAAACAAGCAAAAAACCCAGTTAAACCCCTTTGTGACTTCTCAGATTCGTTGCATCACCTATAGCTCTTCCATTTCAAAGTGTGTATTAAAGCTGTTTGCCATGGATGTATGTTCAAAGATCCTTGCCAGGCTGGGTTTCAGTAGCTCCACGGAATGACATGACAGCTGCTGCGAGGTATCGCTCTTCAGGGCCATGATCTGATCCGCCCTGGGATCCCTTCTGTCATAGTACAGAGCCCACAGCAAAGTAATAGTGAGGATCATCGCCAGGATCTGCGTTACTCCAATGGAGATTCCTAGAAATCTCAGCACTTGCAATTGCTTCGTCCCCCTCAAAAAAGTGTACATTTTTTTACCACATCCCTATGAAACAAAAGAACATATTTAAAAAAAATAATTAGTCAAGGTTATTTGGCTTGCAGCTCCTAAGGTTTAGCTCATCCTACCTACTGCTGGCTTTTCTGGCTCCCCAAAATGGCGCTCTCACCTCCTTCAAACAACACTTTGAAAATTATTTTGCCTACTTTTTAATTGCTTCCATAATGTCATCTTTAGGTTTTCTCATATGCTGAGAGCTTACTGCATGTGAAAAGCCCCAAGAGATCTGTGCAACTCTTCAATTCAGAAATCACTCAAAGTTGGTCTGAGTTCCTATCAACTATCATTGATTTTTAAAGAAACTCCACTGGTTTTGAGAAGGTTTAAAACCCATTAAATCCTCTTAATTATCTTCTTTCTCTCCTTAAATTGCAGCTCTTCAAGGCTGTCAATTATTTTAAACTCTTTAGACTTTTTCTACAAATAATACCACAATCTGAAGTTTAAACAATATTCTAAGAAAGATCTACAGACCTGCATAACCCCATCAGTGTTTCTTCCCACCTTTTCTCTTTTTAGTGTTTTATCTGGACTCATTATATGCCAGTTTATTAGTTCCGCAGAAAGTCTCTAGGAAGTAGAAAAATCATTACATTCCAGACACCGTCTGAGTAAGGAGCACCAAACAGAATAACCTTATATGGAGGACTTCTGACAAATTTCCGCAAGGCAGTGGGTACAAATAGACTTTCTTTAGTATTTAGTGGTAACACCACCACATTAGCTGTGGCATTACTCCTGCTTTTTGTTATTGAACTAGAAGCATCTCCTCATTGCAAAAAGCATATCCACTTATGCTAGTTACACTCCGCTCTACCTCCCCTATCCATAGACTGTATTTTAAAATTAACTGGCTTAATTTCTGATATGAATGTAGAAACTTCCCTGTCAATTATTGTGATGGTATTACACCAAGAGCCAGTTTTGTCTCCTATCTTGTGCTGGGCTGTTGCTACTTAAAGCACAGTAATGTCCAGAACTGCTGTGAGAGTAGCTGTAACCATCCGCCCTGCATCAGGCTCTGCACAAACCCAGGCACGCAGCTAGACCTGCTCCAAATTGCTGACCATCCACACGCTGTATTAGGAAGATGGTCGCATACACCACCTCTGCAATTATTTACAGACTAATAATTATTATTTACACAGAAAATGTCTGATGAAAACAATGTTAAAACATCACAAGTCAATGTTTCCCAGAAATGGAAACCATCTAAACCATCAGTGCACGCTCCACAGTTTGTGTACATGGACAACTAATTACTGTAGAAGGCTCTGGTAAAGCTCCCAACCCTTGTAAAGCAGCAAGGATCCACAAAGAGACATTGGCTCTGGGAATTACTGGATAACAGTGCAAACACCAGCTACAATGCTTGTTGCTCAGGAAAGGCTGATGCCCAGTATTAGAAAGGATAAAACCTCGAAGAGAGGGCCCTTAGCTACTCTGGTCGATGTTTATTCTCTATTCTAAACTTTGCAGGGTTTCACAGCACAAAAAAAAAAAAAAATATCTAAGGAACACAGCCACCAAGGGAAAATTCAGAGTAACAAACCGGATGGGATAACACCACGAGTACCAAAAGGCATTGGTCCCAGAAGACAACATCAGGAACCCATCGAAATGGGCACTGTCTTCAAAATGTCTTTTTTGTGTTTATATCCTGACTATATATTTCTTATAGCTTTTCTAGGAAAAGAAAGCAATTGATCAAAGGGACAGAATCTGAAGACAGGGCATGATAAATAACACTTTTCAATCACACTGAAATCCCCCAAAGCCAACAATTTCAAATGCTACAGTCCTGAATGTATTTGATGAAAGGTCCAATTCTTGCCTTACACATCAAACTCACACCACAGTCAACAGATTTTCATTTAGGATCTAAATAAAATTAATGTACTATATGATAATTGTACCAGAGTAAGTTCAAGGATCTAAATGTCATTGCTCCATTCATCATTTCACTGTGTCATTTTCTAAACATTAACATAGTTTAGACACAGAACAAGGAGTAAATGGAGATTCTTTGAATTTTGAAGAGAAAAAAACAACTGTAGCAAAAACAGTGTAATTGAACTTGATGAGGAACAAAAATTGTCATGTTGGTGTCTTCTTTTCTTCAACTAGAAGACAGTGTTGTAATTATGCTACTTTCCAAATTTGTTTTTAATTACAGAGAAACTGGCTGCATTTTAATACTTTTGATAACTTTAAGGGATGAAGGTACATGCTGGTCACAATTTAGAAATGCTCAACCACAGCAGTATTCAAACTCAGTTCATTTGTTGCCTAGGGGAAACGTCCATTAACAGAGAGCAATAACATTAATGCTTACGTCTCCTGCAGTACAGACACATAAGTGAGACAAATTATGCCCAATCTAGATAGACTGCCTCCCTCCATTTAATGATGTTCTTACAGTTCTGCTCTAATACACGTTCAAAGTCAGTTTCAAAACTGAGAAATATCCAGCTACCCCTGTTATCCTCACATTCATGCATTTTACATCTGCTTATGCAACACATTCATAGTTGGTAGCCTGCAATTAAAGAGTACATAAATATAGTTTCCTTGGCAAAAGTAAAAGTTTGTCACTAAACAGGGAGCTCTTGTTGACAACTCAAAAATAGTACAAAACTTTGCAGCGATCATTCAGAAGAATTAGCTTCAAACTCCTACAGAGCTATGGATTAAAGGCCCTATTCATATTTATTACAAAGGCCATTTTGTGTTTTCAGTCCTAAAATGGAAACAAAGCATATATTTCTGATTTACTGCAACATCATAGAATAAGGACCAGATCTTAAATAAGGCACTTTTCAGAGCAGAAAAGATAGACCATCAGGATATTCAGCAGATCTGTTGTATACTCAAATAATTTTTGAGTATAATTTTTGAGTATACTCAAAATTATGCTAGAAAACAAAAGAAAAGATATTGAACATGCAATTTTGATTTTTTCTGAAGCTATCAACTCCTACCAATCATTTTACCTAGGCTACAGTTCCCAATCACAAGGCGGGCAGAGCTCCCTTTGTCCTCAGACCACAACAAACCGCCAAGGCCACATCATCATCTCACGCGCTTCCCTCACAACCATGCTCTTTCTAAGGTTAGTCTGTTCCATAAACTGCACCAAAGGTGAAGCTCGTCAGAATAAAAGCAGTCCAAGAAGACTAACACATCTGAAAAATAGCTTTCAAAATCCAGCAGGGGAAACAACATTCCTGCCAAAAATACTCTCAAACAGAACTATAAGTAAGCAACCTTTCTTTCTACAAAAATTGTATTGTGAAGGATTCCAACTTAGGCTACAGAAAGCTCCGAGATCCCTGCAGAAAATTACAGCACAGTTACAACAAAACAATCTTTTCGATCCCAGCCAAACCAAACTTCAGTTTTCTGAAGTACTACAGAGAATTTTTCTGAAGTACCAGAATGGACTTGCGAAGCATCTAGATAATCCAATTTTCAGCTAGTGAGGCTAATCTCATCAGGCTCCCTCTCAAACCACCAGACTATGCAGGGTTGCTTTGAATCACTTTCTAAAAAAGCTTTTTTCCTTCAATTCTCCAAAGCAGAAGTCAGACATATTAGCCATGCAAGTCTAAGTTGGTTTTGCATGATATTGATAAACGTATTAGCAAGTACACTGTGTGAGCCTGTGAGACGACCCGCAGGCCAGCACCATGGGGAAAAAAAAGTTTTGCCAATCAAATATTGTACATATCTCTAAAAGCAACAGAGTATTTTTGGTCTGGTAAAACAGAACACAGCCTGTCCCTTTTTGGAATGGATTCTGCGGTAAAGAATCAAAAAAAATTTTTTGCTAAGAGCTGAATTCATCTAAAATGCTCTGGGCTATGGTAAGGGAAGAACCATAACTGTGCCTTTTGGGTTTCTTTTAGGAAAAAAGACAGGCAGCCTTTCTTTTTATCAAGTGGGTCTTAACACAGCCCTTATGTTCTACATCATCATCATCATCTTTGGCTATTCGTTTTCTCCAAGAACCACCAAAAGAACCTGAACACACAAAGTGCGCAGAGAACAACTTGCCTGGAACACAGTGGTGGGAATGAAATGTTAGCAGAAGAGATGACATGAGAAAACCTTGCAGTTTCAACAAGACACTCCAGTGACTAGTACTCCTTCTCACAAATTTTTTGAGCTTCCTGAGCTCAAAAATTAGTTTTTCATTGAGTGACACTTACAGACTCTTGCCTTTTCACATAAGCAGGAAGGATGCTCAGGGCAAATGAACATTCTGCAGCTTCCATACATTTACACTCCTTGAGGGCTCTCTACGGCAGAGTTGGCCTCTATGGTATTAATACTGGCAATACTATCACAAAAAGCAACCATTATTGCGGAGTGAGCCACAGTTCGGTCTTCTTCAAGAATGTGTAAGAGACTGGCAGGCCTCCTAAGAAACCTGAATGGCTTTCCCATTCAGAGACTGACACTTCTAAAGTGTAACCAGCGCTGCCTGTGCTGCAAAAGCCTTACCATAAGGCAGGAGAGGTTCAACAAGTAGCTGGTGGAAGAAAAACAGCCTCTGCCACTGGCTTTAAGGTTCCCTAGCACAGACTGGTCTTCTGAGGCACCTGCCTTTTGGTAGCTCTACCTTCCCTCTTTCCTAGCGGAAGCACACGAGGCCTAGGATGGATGTCTGGAAGTCTGGAATAGATTATATGACTTCTGCTCATACAGTCAGTGCCATACAAATCTAGCAAATCACTCCACATCAGTGATGCCATTTCCCCAAAGCTTGATTGTTTCCTGGCAACAGCTCACAATCATCTTGGCTTGTTTATATAGTGAATCCCCCTGGTTCCAGAGGTATTTCTGCATAGCTCCTGAACAAGAGCCACATAATAGATTCTCTTGCAAGAAAGAGCCTTGAACAGCAGTAAGAGACTGGGACAAGATAAAATGGTTCTTTGGGTGCTCTTCCATAAAGCAGAGTTGCACTGTCCACTGGAGAAATGGTCATGCTGCAGCATCTGAAGGCGCGATTCTCAGGCCTGTCCTCCTTCCTATGCACCCCATATTACTCTTAAAGCACACAGATGTGAAATGCACCTCTTCACAGATCCTCATAACTACTTGACTGAGACATGCTTTTTGTCACTACTGGACTACCTGGATTGTTGGGCATTCTGCTATTACTGAATGCAAAATTAAAGGTCTAGTGGTCTGATAGCATAAAAAAAAAGATAGGTAGCAAAGCAGTCTCCAGAAAAAGGCGACTTTAGAAAACATTTTTGTGAGAACAGTTAAAAGAGTTTTAGTAAAGAACATATTTACTTGTTTTTATAATTTTCACCCTAAGAACACTAATGACTTGCTACTACGATGACCTCCCTTACTCACTTCGACAATTAGGTCTTTTCCCAGTTTTAAGGCTTTTATTTAATTCTTTTAAAATAATAATCATACTGTAATGTAATAGAGTTAGAGAGAAAGAGCATTTTCACACAAAGTTTCTATGCATGCTCACAGTGGAGCACCTGAATTACCTGCCTTCTTGCATAAGCCTGGTTCACAGGAGAGTTCTACTCTTCCAAAGGACTTCTCAAAAGCATCCTTCACTGTACATACCACTAGAGTCCTCATTACCATAGGGTAAGTAGAATTTCTCTTAGTTTGGCAAGCTGGAGACAGGACATTACACCAAAACTAATTTTTTTTGATTGGAGCAAATTTCAACTCCAACCTAACCAATATAACCCAAATACTTCAATATTTAAGCACATCTCAGATGTTAACTGCATTGCTACTAACTTATCTCATTTCCAGGTAAGGGTGGGTGGGTTCTTCCTTCCTTCCTTTCTTCCCTCCTCCCTCCACTTCAGTATTAATAAATAATAAACATAAACAAATACAATAAACACTTTCCATAAACACAATTATCCTACAGACCTTTCTGCTGCACTGCAAATGGTGAGTCTGGAAAATTACTGGATCAGGAAGAATGCACAAAGCCTTCCAAAATAACCAGATTTTTCTTCTTACCTCCTGATAAAGGTCACTGAGATCCTCATGATGTGCCTGCTTAGAGCATCCTGGGAACTCTCGGACACAACAGGAGTCAGGTGGCCAGTCCATCTCTGTCATTTCCAGCCAGTCTGTGAAGTACACCACCCCACAACATTTAAACTGCAAAGGAAGGATTAGCCAAGATCAGCAATAATGATGCTACTTCTTCATAAAAGTAGGTCACCAAGAAAGCTAAATAAATTCCTATTAACAACTTTCAAAGTATTTACATAGGACTAAAAACATCTACAGGAGCTTCCACGTATCTTCTTTTGCCATACTTTGACATAAAAGCAATGTGAAAAATGTAATGTAGTGAGTAATGAACACCTCAGAAACAGTCAATGATACTGCTCCATCCTTTAAATCCCAACTGTTCCCTCAAAGGATGCTTCACAGAAATTGTCCTACCCTGTAATTCTGCTATCCCTACTACAAGGAACTAACACAGGGCAATTTCATGTCAAAAGGGTGACTAATGAACAAGTATACCTGTGGCTGAAGGAAGTAGTAGGAAAAGATGATTAAGGTCTTACTAGTGAGGACTATTCCTGCAAGGCTACAACTATGGACACATCTGTTGAAAACCAGATGAGAAAAAGCACAGATTTATCTGAATACAGAAAAAAGGAAAGAAAAAAAAAAAGATGAAAAGAAGTGAGCAAAAAGGTATAGAAATCACAAATACTGAAAGGAAAAAGGAAAATAGAAGGAAGGGGTATCACACTAAAATAAACACTGCAACAGAATCAACCATAAAAGTAAGAAGTCTGGCTGCAAAGCAGATGAGCCATAATTGGCTATAAAAACCACCAGGACTAACAACCTGTCTTTTCCTCTGCAAAGTACACCAAGAGATTTAAAGCCAAACGACCAGCCTACCACATTCCTAGCTGCTTTCACATAAAAAAGGCCTGAAGCGGCTACATTACATTTTCTTCTGCACTGGATGTGGAGTTGATATGACTGAAGAAAAGCCTTGCTGTAGGAACAAGATGCTGATTTTTTCTGTCTGGATGTTCTCCAGTACCAGCCTGAGCATTTGTAAGTCATCACCTGGTTCTTTTGACCCATGGGCTTGGGAACATTTGCCCCCCTTACCCATCTCTGAGCCAGAGTCCTGTATACCATGCCACTTCTTGGTCACAATCAAGCAGATCGGTGCCCAGACACCACATGGGCACACACTGTTCCTGGACTTCACCAGTCCTCTTACAAGTCTCACTTTTCCCTTTTTCACCACAGCTTTAATGTCTGTTTTTATCAAGTTTGTTAGTCAGTCAAAATCCTCCCAACATGGGACTTTCTACCAAAAGCTCAAGCCTGGCTCTTCATTGTAATTGCAAAGACTACCTCATTAAACATCCTTTTCTTACTCTCAAATTTTTTCTTCCCCCTGTCCAGTTCTTCCTTCCTGATTTCAATTGACCCTTCCCATCTTCCTCAATCACAATTCTGATATTAGACAAGCAAGGGGGTTGGGGGCAAACTACACTTCCCATCTCTCTCAGATGTTAAAAGATACAGAAGAGTGAGCACAAAGCTGATCAGGGCTGAATCTTTGGGAACAAAATTGTAATTATAAATTTCTTCTTTAGGAAAAAAATTGTAATGCTGACTGAAGAAGGGCCCCAAGCACAGTGCTCATTCAGACATAAAGCACATACCAGGCTCACACATCCACCATCTGAGTTATGAGTAGACAGAATAAAAATGAGAGCCCACCAGTCAAGTAGGAGCTGTAAAAGAGCCTTCTCAGTTCACTTCACACTTTCCCCAAATCATTCTTGTGGTCAAAGACGGAATATAGGAAATCTAACTTCTAAAAGGAACTTTTTCTACCCTGGAAGAGTTAAGGCATAGTTGAAGTTTTATTATTAATATTATTACCAGCCATTATGATGACACTACAGCAACCAGGAGGGTAAGAGGCAGCTTTTAATTTAATCAACCTATACATTTAAACCAAGATACAGTATCAGCTCTATTCAAAGAAATCCAGACCATTTGATGACAGTATCTCAGGTACAGAGCAAATACACACACTCTACCTGTGTATGAAGAACTACTCCCTTTCACAGAGCACTTGCATAACCAGAGCAGGGGACTGGGGAGGCAGGGTGTTTAACCTCATGTAGTCCTCACACTTTCTTTCAGGTTTACTATAAATACAGACTAACCAAGTGCTGCCAGGAAATGTTTAAATAAACAGGAAATCTGTGCAACAATGACAGATTTCAACATTTCAACAAGGGCAGCACAATGACAGGCATTTAAAGAGTTCTCTTCCTGCACGTGAGTTATATTTGGAGTTAATGGGTTTTACCTTGGGCAATTTCATGTTTTTGTAACATAATACTTCATTCTTTAAAAACAGTTCTGAATTTTAGTAGGCTAGAGGGCAAAGCTGTGAATACACAAGGAAGCTTTCTGGTTTGTTTCCCGCAAATCCCCCCCC